ATTACCTGAGGAATGGGCAAACATGCAAGAAAAGCAGAAGGGGGGATGCTATGCCCACACAAAGCCTGTGCAAGTGTGGTGACACATTGGCCTGGACCTCTGAACCCATGCCCATCTCTATGGATAAGTTTCAGTTTCTGCAGCCTGATGATGTGGACAGGACTCTTGGAGAGGTGGAGGGTACCATATGTCTGTGGGACCCTTGCCCTTTCTGGCTTATAAAAACTGCCAGAGAGGGACTGAATAACTAACGACCTGTCTCTAATCTTCCATTCTTGGGCAAAGTCGTAGCTTCCCAGCTCAATGGGTTCCTAGATGAGATGGATTGTCTAGATCCATTTCAATCTGGCTTCAGGTCTAGTTATGGAACAGAGACTGCTTTGGTTACCTTGGTGAATTAACTATGACGGAAATGGTACATGGAGAACGTATTTGTTCTGCTAGTCATTTCAGCAGCTTTTTATACTACTAACCATGGTACGCCTCTGGAGTGTCTCTCTGGGATGGGACTTGGAGGCATCTTTACAGTGGCTCCTGTCCTTCTTGAACAGGAGAACCCAGAGGGTAGTGCTGAGGGACTCTTGTCCGACAACCTGGCTGATGACCTGCAGTGTCCCTCAGGATTCTGTTTATGTTATTTAACATCTAGATGAATTTGCTTTGCTTGAATCCAAGCTATCTAGAAGAACGTATCTCACTTTATGAGCCTACCTGGATAGTAAGATCTCCAGGAGAGGCTTTTCTCTTGATCCCATCACCCTCAGTGGTGTGTTTGGTGGGGATATGGGAAAGGGTCTTCTCTGTTGCTGCTCCCAGAATCTGGAACACGTTCTGTAAGCAGACAGAGACCTTTCTCTTTGGGCAGGCTTTCTATTAAATCTTAGTTGATCAAGGAGATTTTTTTTTAAAGGGATCATTTTATTCTATTATTTTACCTGTGATTTTAATATAAAGCTCTTTAATCTCTCTGGATTGAGAGCGAAGACCAAAGTCCAGCTGAAATGCATGCGAGACTTCCTGTTCGCCGATGATGCAGGCATTGTTGCCCACTCTGCTGAAGACCTCCAACAACTCATGAATCATTATAGCAAGGCCTGCCAAGACTTTGGACTAATAATCAGCCTGAAGAAAACACCAGTCATGGGCCAGGGTGTGGACTCACCTCCCTCTATTACCATCTCCATGCAAGAATTGGAGGTTGTACATGACTTTGTGTACCTTGGCTCAACGATCTCTGACACTCTCTCTCTAGATGTCAAGCTGGATAAACACATTGGCAAAGCAGCTACCATGTTCTCTAGACTCACAAAGAGAGTATGGCTCAATAAGAAGCTGATGACATATATCAAGATCCATAGAGCCTGTGTCCTGAGCACACTCCTGTACTGGAGTGAGTCCTGGACTCTTTGTGCACAGCAGGAGAGGAAGCTGAACACCTCTGTTGCCTCCGATGCATTTTTGGTATCACATGGCAGGACAAAGTTTCAAATAGAGTTGTCTTAGAATGAGCTGGAATTTTTAGCATGTATACATTACTGAAACAGCGACGTCTCCGATGGCTTGGACATGTTGTGAGAATGGCTGGTGGTCAGATTCCAAAAAATCTCCTGTATGGAAATTAGTGCAGGGAAATCACCCCAGAGGGAGACCACAGCTGGGATACAAGGATATCTGTAAGCAGGATCTGAAGGCCTAAGGAATGGACCTCAACAGATGGGAAACCCTGATATCTGAGCGTTCAGCCTGGAGGCAGGTGGTGCATCACAGCGTCTCCCAATTTGAAGAGACCCTTGTCCAGCAAGCTGAGGTGAAGAGGCAATCACTAAAGCAGCAAAATCAGGGAGGTGGACAGGGGAGAGATTGTATTTGTCTTCAGTGTGGAAGGGATTGTCACTCTCGAATTGGCCTTCTCAGCCACACTAGATGCTGTTCCAAGTCCTCCATACAGAGCACGTTACCATAGTCTCTTGAGACTGAAGGATGCCGAATCTAATCTGAAATCTATTATGAGTTTTAACATATCTGTTTAATGCATTTTAATATTGTCATTATTTATTATTTACCTTTTAACTTTGTTTTTAATATTGTATGCTGCCTTGTATCCATTAGGAAAAAGAAGGCATATAAATTTTTCATTAATTCATTAAGATCAGAAACACTGCCATTCTAATACTAAAGCACACTTAGAATGAACAAAAACACACACCCTGATTTCTGATGGTTGTTGTGGGTTTTTCAGGCTGTTTGGCCGTGTTCTGGAGATTTTTCTTCCTAACATTTTACCAGTCTCTGTGGCCGGCATCTTCAGAGAACAGGAGCTAGAACTCTGTCTGTGTTCTGGTGTAGTGTGTGGGATTGTTGAGTATTTGTAGCTGTGGGATGAGGGTTTTGTTCTTTTCAGGAGATTGGTTGTTTCCTGTTATCAGGGTTTTTTTGTTATGGGTGTGTTTTTTTTTGTGGTAAGGGGGAAGATGAACTGTCACTGTGATTGATGTGTGTCCTTGGATAGTCTTTTGTCTGCAGTGACAGCCTTATGGCTGGGTGGAGTTCATTGACTTTTTTTGCAGGTTTGTATTTTTTCAGTGCTGGGAGCCAGGCTTTGTTGAGTTTTAGACTTTCTTCTTTTTTTGTTGAAGCTGTGCTTTTGTTTGCAGATTTCAATGGCTTCCCTGTGCAGTCTAACATAATGATTGCTGGTGTTGTCCAATACTTCTGTCTTTTGAAATAAGATTTCATGTCCAGCTTGTTTCAGGGCATGTTCAGCTACTGCCGATTTTTCTAGTTGTTTTAGTCTGCAGTGTCTTTCATGTTCTTTGATTCTGGTCTGGATGCTGTGTTTTGTGGTTCCAATATATACCTGGCCGCAACTGCAAGGTATCCAGTATACTCCTGCAGTGGTGAAGGGATCCATTTTGTCCTTTGCTGACTGTAACATTTGTTGTATTCTGGTGGTGGCCTGAATACTGTTCGTAGGTTGTGTTTCATCAACAGTTTTCCAGTGGAGTCTGTGACCCCTTTGATGTATGGCAGGAATACATTATTTGTGTGTGTGTGGGGGGTTGTTTTTCTTCTTCACTTTGGTGTTCTTTTCTTAGTTTGATGGCTCTTTTGATTTCATTCTTAGAATACCCATTTGCCTGTAAGGCACTATTCAGGTGGTTAGGTGCTGAGAAAATAAGCTTCACACGGTCGACCAGTGTTTTGATTATGCCCGTTTTTTTCTTAAGGGTGGTGATTGCAGTTTTTATGTAGGTACCGTTCTGTGTGGGTGGGTTTTCTATAGACCTCATGTCCCAATAGTAGGTCAGGTTTGATCATGACATCTAAGAAAGGGAGTTGGCCCTCTGTTTCTTTTTCCATGGTGAATGCTATTTGGGTGGATGCTACTGTGATGGTTTCGAAATTCTTCCAGTTTTTCTTCACTGTGGCTCCAAATTGCAAAGGTGTCATCCACATATTGGATGTTTCTTCCGAGGAACATTTCAAAAAACCGGCCCTGGCTTCAACACCCTTTGCACCCACAGTCTGGTTCTGATACGTCTACTTCCACACAGGTGAACACACTACAGCCCATTGGATCTCATCTGCTAGGAGATCACTTTGCAGAATTATATTCAGTTTCTCAATTTCTCTGATATTATGCATGATAATATTTACCTTCCTTCATAATGCCCCTGAATGGTGCTACTTATCTGAGATTATGGAGGTTCCAAAATAGCTGCCAGTCTGCTAACACTTACATCCATCCTGTTCTCTGGTATGGGAAATCCACCAATGAGTATAACTTGCTTAGATTTTTCAGTCATAGTACACCCTTCTTGATTTATAAAGCTCTTTTGATCTCTCCCATACAAAATTAGAAACAAAAAAAGGCCACAATTATTTGGAAATGGACAAATCATGTCATGGATTCAGGGGCAAGTCAGCATGAATGCTTTCTACTGGATCAAGGGTGGATTGGCATCGATCTGTTGGCCATTTGTTAAGATGCAGAAAGGCCTGTCAAAAGTCAGCCAAACAAACCACTGGGAAAAAAGTCACAATTTACACCACAGCCATAAGGCTTAAGGATGGCAATTACTACATTAAGGACTTAATGTAGTAAGGACTGCCATTACTACATTAAGTAGTAATGGTAGAAATAGCAGATTTTCTTTGCAGCACATCTAAACATGGAAGATGTCACCATAAGGTGAGACAATCAGCTTTATGCATGTCGCACTAGACGGGTTGGCTTGTTCAGCATATTCATATCGATCCACATTTCTATGTTTTCCTTTCTGAAGGTCACAGACTTTCTTACTTTCAAGTTGCATACCATGAGAATCATTGTTGGATACTATTAGCCAGAAATTATGAATTCAAACAGAAGTTACACCTACAATACCTTCCAAAAATGACCTGTAGGACTCTTAAGTAGAACGGGGCGGGGGGAGAGTGTACAATTTCCCAGTGCACTTCCATTTCCAGTGAAGAATAGGACAGTTATTTCAGTAACACTTTTCTTAAAAGGAGAAATAAAATTCCAAATTTAAATAAAATTATCTCCTTTCCAGTTCCTCATGGGCTGATATAAAAATGCTGCAGTCTGAAAGATTTCATTTAACTCACTCTAGAACATAAAAATAAAATAGCTCTCAGAGAGGGGACAGCTCATAATTTCATGGAAACAACTCTGGGAAGACTGCTTTTGTGAGGACTCTCCCCCATCAGAATATGTAATCATCTAATTTCTAGGATTCAGGAGAGTTTAACCTGTTGGCCACAATTTCACTGGAAGAAATAGGGAGTTGTGGCCATGAAGCCATCAAATTAAAGTATAACTTATCAAGTATAGATTTTGGAAGATGAGTAGGAGAAACAAAACTGGGGGGAAGTGGAGCGCCTAGTTTCAGTTAATATGTTTAATGATTCACCAGAGGAAATTACTGAACCTGAAAATAAATATTTCTCTATATAAATTTACTTCAAAGGCAAGCACTGTTCTAATCAAATGTTATTACAACTTGGATTGTAAGTTCTACGGGAAACCAGAAAATAGAAATGGATTGGATTACTCCTGCTTCTATATTGTTCCTGTTTGGCCTTATGATAATGTTGGTTTTGAAAACGAGGGGTTTCTGGAAGAACAGCTCTCAGCGTCTACCCCCAGGACCCTGGCCGTTACCGCTTGTTGGAAATCTTCTCATAATGGATCAGAAAAGGCCTTATAAGAGCATGCTGAAGGTAAGATTTTCTGTTCTTTTCTCCCATGCAAGGCAAGGAGGATATAACATTTCAGCCTTCAGTGTAGGTTCGTTCGTTCGTTTAGTCGTTTAGTCCTGTCCGACTCTTCGTGACCCCATGGACCAGAGCACAGCAGGCCCTCCTATCTTCCACTGCCTCCCGGAGTTGGGTCAGATTCATGTTGGTT